AAACTAGTGGAGCCAGCAGCTCATTGGAGGAGAGGAGCACCTGAAACAGAAGCTCCACTGAGGACTGGTCCTGTTGGCAGAGCCCTGACAGGGAGGGGGGCTGGATGGGGGCTGGAGGGAGGGAGATGGTCGGCCATTGTTTTTCTAAGCTGGTCTGTTTTTCTACATGTGGTTGGGCTAACCTAAAAGCATTCACACTGGTCGGGGGGGTGTCTGTGTGGCCTTTGTCAAAGCACCCGGGCCTGTGGTGGACAGGGGGGGGCTTGGCTTGAACAGGATGGGGGTTTTCAGAGAGTGTTCTGTCTACATGAAGGTCAGGGATGTAAACAGGAGGAGTCTGATGGCATCTGTGACGAGATGATGACTGCAGGAGGGGGGGGTGATTGGTGGAGAAGAGAGGAGAGGGGGTGAGGTAGGTTTGCTGTAGCCGCTCCCAGGTCCACTCAGGTCTCAGTTCAGGGGTCCTGCAGCGGGGCCCGGCCCCCTGACTGGATGAGTTCTGACAACATGCCAAGGCCTCGCGGGTCTGTTCAGAGGCCATGCAGTGCAGCTGCTGGGCTGCCACATCTGCCTGATGCACTGCTAAAATCCTCATCAGCTCTTTGAGGGAGAAGGCAGCAGGGTGAGGCCCTCTGCTGCTGGGCTGACTGGAGTCCAGGGGGGGGTAATGAGCCTGCTGTAACACTGCAGTCCTCAGCTGGGTGGCGCTGTGCTGCGCTCTCTGCTCTCCCACCGCCTGGTTATACAGCTCCGTGCCAGCCAAAATGTCCTGCAGGAGCTCTCTGGGGACACAGTGCCCCTCAGTGTGGGCCACAGCACACAGCAGGGCGTACACATACTGCTCCACCAGAAGCAGCGCCTGCACCCCCAGCAGCTCCAGACTGCCTCTGACCTGCAGCATCAGCTCGGACTGCGGGCTCAGAGCCGCTCTCAGGGGGGGGTCATGCTGGACTCTGGAGAACAGACAGGACCAGTGGCTGAGGTGGACCCTCAGCTCCTGACTCAGCGAGCAGAGTCCCCCCCTGACTGAAGAACTCTGGGGGGAGAGGAGAACGTTTTTGTTTGTGATTAGTGGCAGAAGTCTTCAGATGCTTTACTTCAATGAAAGTACCAATATATTACATTTGAAAATACTCCATTAAAAGTTAAGAATCCTAAATTCAAAATCTCACTTAAGTTAAAGTACTGTACAATGGTACTGTATTATTAACCTCTTAAGCCCTGAGCCTGTTTTTCAGGTCTCAGGCTCGAAAATGACATTCCCAGAACAAATGACCATATCTTCACTTCTAAATGGGGTAAATTAATAATCTTTTTTCTCAAAGCAATGATAAACCTGTGAGTTGGATGTAGAAAAGTCAGAATCAATATAGATGTTTTTTATTTTAAAGTAAATTCAGATTGAACATAGTAAAAAAACGTAAATTATAGTTTCTGTCCAAAAGAAAAACATGACTTATAGTGAAAACTACCCTTGGATGATGGGATAGTAGACTAAAAGCTTTAGGAATCCAAACTATAACATATAATAAGTACCCTGTATCAAGATTGATGCAAAACAAGTGAAATTTGACCTTTTTAGAGAGGTTTAGAAAAAGAAACCCACTTCTGGGGTCATTTGGGTGGATTTGCCATATCTCTCTGACACCTCTTTTGAACCGTTAGAGCCAATAGAATCGAGGGGAAGTTCCTAAATCCATCTAAACATTACCATTGGTGAAGAGAGTGATGTGTAGCCAGAATGCCCAAAAGCGGAAGCTGGGTTGTAGCTCTCACACACTCTATATGAAATCTTATGATGGATTATCAGTAATCATTTCAAAGTGACACAGAGACATTGGATTAACCTTCAGCAGCGCTTTTATGCGTTTTAATGCCATTGAACAAACTTTAGATCAGACAACAGCAAAGGTAAGATGGTAAGATGTCTCTGCCCTGAGTTCTGGTCGCACAGTGATTATACTTATACCTCTAGAATCTGTGGAATCTCAGCTTTCATTTGATATCTTGTTTGTGCAGATCCGATAAGTAATACAATATTTTTCCCGTGAGTTCTGTGCTAAGTGCGTTATCATTTTTTCGCTTAATGCTAATTCAGAGGCTTGGTATTACCCTTGTGTTTTGTTTAGCAAAGAATGGTTCATATCGTCAGTTAGATGAGTTTCTTCCCGTTAAGTGTGTATGACACATTAATACGTTGTTAAATGTTAAGAAGCCCTGAGACACAGGTTTGTGAAAAAAAAGCCTTAACAGGTTAACAAAGGTACTTAAATGATCAAAAGTAAAATACTCTTTTTGGAGGTAAGTGGCCATAGTGAAGCCAGCCTCCAGATTTGTCCTGCAAGGATTCAAAAATAGCTGCTGAGTCTCAATGCACTTTGGAGAGAACCCTGCAGTTCAGCCTGACCTGGTTAAGTGTCAGGTGTGAGTTCTTCAGCTGTTCCTCCAGCAGGTGGCGCACTCTGGAGATGAAAGCTGCTGTGAGGCGGGCCCTCCTGGTGAACTCGTGAATGAAGAGCAGCAGGACCCGCTGCTCCAGGAGCCTCCTCAGAGCTGAGTGGTGTCCCTGCAGGAGGAGGGAGGAGGGCAGGAGGAGCACCCCACTGTCTGCTGGGAGGCCTTTAACACACACCTGGGGGGGGGGGGGGAAATGGTATCTAGTTATCAAACTTAAAGACAGTTTCTTCCCCAGAGCAATAATTGCACTAAACTCCAGCTTGCACTGACACAATATATATATATATACTTTTTTTTAATACACATTAAAACATATTTATTTGTACTTAAAGGTCCCATGACATGGCCATTTCTACTGATCATAATTCCATTGTTGAGGTCTACTAGAATTTACATTGTTCAATGTTCCAAACTCACATTGGTTTCTCATACAGCATCTCTGTATAGTATGTGTATTCACTCTCTGTCCTACACGGCTTGTTGGAGCTTCTGCCCCCCCCCCCCCTCCCTATGAGCCCACTGTGCTCTGATTGGTCAGCTCGCCCACTCTGTTCTGATGAGTCCACCACCGTTACAGCGGAACATCAGTGTTTATGTGTTACAATGGCGTTAGCAACCAGAAAATGACACCAGTAAGGACAAATAGATGAGAATGCTGCGTGGGGTCTGGGTGCCGTGTTGGTGGGACGTTGCGGGGCTCGCTGCTCCACCCTTTGAGGCTCGAGGAGCGGACAGAGAGAGCTGGATTACTGGTGTCATTTCCTGGTTGCTGCGCGGGGTCTGCGAGACATCGCGGAACTCAGCCTGAGCACACACACACACACTCACAGCCAGGCTGTTCGCCACACAGTTCGCCACACACTCACAGCCTGAGAAAAGATAAGGCTGAGTGAGTGTGTGTGCCGGCGAAACTCCGCGGAGTAGCGCGGCTGAGAAAAGATAAGGCTGAGTGTGAGTGTGAGTGTGAGTGTGAGTGTGAGTGTGTGTGCGGAGCTCCACGGATTGGTCCATTTGGTCGTCGTTACGTCACTATGACCAGGAAGAAAACAATGGAAAAAGAGAAATGTCCAACGAGGCGTTCTGGGGCAGCATAGACAGGTCTTTTCTGTGTTAGAGTTTTACTCGCTACAGGGTGTACTTTGAGGGTTTGTGACTTTGCAGACCGTTTACATGCAGAACAAGCTACATAACACACAAGGGGACGGGTAAGAACCGGAAAAGCATGACATCATGGGACCTTTAAACAGATATATTCCTGCACTTTAACTGTATCTGCATATTGAAGTATGAATGCTTGTTGTTTCTATGTTGTCTCCTCCTGAATGTTTTATGTCTCTTGTTGGTTTTTTGTATTTTTGATGGCACCTTAAAAAGGAGTAGCTCTACTCATCTCATTGTACCTGTATAATGACAATCATTTCCAAGTCTGGTCTAAACACTTGCTGTCTTACATATTTTCAAGGAACGTAGATATTATATTATGGTCCAAACTTTTGGGGGAAAAGCTTGTTTTCCACAGATGTGTTTCACAGATGCAATGCATGAGAGTGATGATGCATTTTGAAGTAAGGTCTTCCAGCAGTGCTTTTGTCTACCCAAGGCAGCAGCGGATCATGCTTTCATCTCATTCATTGTTTCATTTGAAATACCTTTTCAGTCATTATATTGTCTATTGAGGTACTCACTGGTTCATAATGAACTCCATTCATTCATTCATGTATTTGTGCATACATTAAGTATGAGTGTTAATGCCTCAGTCGCCAAATAAACCTTCCATTTGTAAAGAAATGGATTAGGTGGTTTGTGCGAGTGAAGCATCATGGTTACTGGGTTAGAGTCAAGCCTCTAGAGTTGAGACAGAATTCAATGATTGTTTACCATTCATCCCTTTTGTTGGGTGGTGCCCCAAGTTCAAAGCTTGGGTTTTGTAGAAACACAGAAGTGCAGATTGCATTCCTGCTATGAAAGTAATCATTGCAAATAAAGTGCTAAAGATAATCATTTTAGGTGATCACACATTCAGCTTCCCTACAATCCCTGGAACTTACCCGGGGAGACCCTGTCTGCTCCCTGCCCACCGACTGCCACTGGGGGGCCACAGTCACCACAGCTTGGTGCAGACGCAGGAGACGAGCAGAGGACCGGGACACCAGATTGTGAGCGACCACAAAATGTCTCTCCATGTCCTCCTCATCCTGGCGGCCCTGGAACAGCCACTTGATGCCGGGGTTAAAGGTTCTGAGCAGGGTCTCGGCTCGCTGCAGGGAGCGGGTCAGGGACCTCTGAGACCAGGAACCTGCAGAGGAGTGAACATGTTCTGAGGTCACAGTATGCTGAACATGTATTGTATTTGCTGTTAGTTTAGCCTGGTTACGTGTTGACTTATTGTGGACTAACTGATCAAACATTATACTTTCGCATATAGTTCAAAACGAGTATATGTCTTTTTCTGCTGGATCCTGTTCCGCTGTTCTTCCAGCAGCATGCATGCTCAATCTGCAGCTATAACATGTATGCACTGTACCATTAGTGATTCCATCCTCGGTCACCATGCAGGGACTGCATCTTGTCTGAAAGACACAAAGGGCAAATTCCAAAAACAAATATTGATAAATAGTTTAGTTCCTAAAGGAATACTTCACCAACAAAGTGACCCTTAGTCCATTTCCTCCCCCTGTGTTACCTTACAAAAGCATGCAGCAGGCAGGCTGTACCAAAAGGCTCTCAGTGATGTCGTTGTTTGGGGGGTAGTGAGCATGGATAAAGATACGTCAACTGAACAGCTGTCTGGTAGTTTGTAATTGTATTGAAATAGTTGACCTGATATAGTGATTGACTTTGTGACACAGCAAGCCTTTCATTTCATTTCAAACCTTTATTTAACCAGGTGTAGCCCATTGAGATCATTGCTCTCTTTTTCAAGGGAGACCTGCTCAAGTAGGTTCCACATGAAACATTAAAAACATAAACAGAACAACAAAAAGGACATCATACAGTAGCATTACAGGGATTACAATTTACATACTATCCACATGCACAGGTACCAACAGCTTCTGATTGTGTAGCATCCAACCGAGCTTTAAAAACATATAGTGGTACCAGATTGCTCAGTTTCCATTTTAATTGCAGACTATTCCAGGACAGTGGAGCTGCGCATCTAAATGCTATCTTCCCTAAGACAGTCCTAGCAGTTGGCACATTTAATAAAACCACAGCATGCGATCTCAGGCAGTAGCCACTTACAATTCGCCGTGAGATCAGGGAGCAGATGTAGGATGGAAGTTTCCCTAACATGGCTTTATATATAAAAATGTACCAGTGACTGAGCCTCCGTGCAGTTAGTGAAGGCAGACCAGCCCTTGCATACAGGGTACAGTGATGAGTTAATGCTTTACAGTTTGTCACAAATCTCAGTGCACTGATACGCAGCATCTAACTTGACCAGGCAATTGGCAGGTGCATTCATATAAATCAGATCACCATAGTCCAGCACAGGTCAAAAGGTCACAGTGACTAGCCTTTTCCTGGCCTCGAGCGAGAAAGAGGACTTACATGAGCCAGTGTGTGAGGGTGTGCTGCGCAGGTCACATGACCCATCAGAGCGTCACTGAAAACAGCTGCTGCATTGAAGAACGTTAAACCCAATCTATGAGCAGCCTGAGGCATACTGCCCTCTGGGTCCCTCCCACAATGTATATTACCATATAATAAACAAATAAACAAACACTATAATATATCAATAAAAATGAAAGGTAATAAACATCATCTTTTAAATAGTACATGTCAAAAAAGTACTAACCTGCTCCTTTTCTAGGCAGAATGCCTCCGAATTCTCCTGGTCTGAAAGGAAGAGACACACACATCAGAACATTTCAAACCAAGAGAGCAACAAGTTGACAGCATCACCATCGCAGACATGTGCATGCAGAACATTTCTCTGAGGTCCGTGGGGCTGGGCTGCTGTAAATGTCTGGTTCAAACATACGGCCATGTTGCACTGCAACAAGACAACGTGGGGGTCAGGAACCTTTGCAAACAGACTGAGGATGCTTCTTGTGTTAGTCCCACAGTTCCTAAAGAACCATCATGTTTAGTAAAGTGATGATTTAACTGTTTATCTGACTGCAGGAATATTTCTTTTATGGGTCCTACTACTTCTTTGTGTTCGAACCAGTAGCCTATTTGATTATTTTGGCAGGGGTTATAAGTCCAGCACCGAGGATATTTACTGTGTGGATGCAAACCAAATGATTGACATCAAGGTTACAATTGTGTGAGTCTCAGTCAAGTAGAGATGATAGCCAACAAGCTGCTGTGACCAATATTTCTTAGGTCAACAGAACTGAATCATATCTCTATATCTCCCCCCAAAATCCCATTGGATTTATAGATTTGACTTTCTAACAGGCAGGCAGTGGGAAGCACCAAGGTGATGTTAAACACTTTGTTTATTTAGACGTGTATTTACATTTGGGCATCAGTGATACTATTATTTTCCTTTTGACGAGTGAGTGGGTTAAAAGGATTCCTTGAGATTCCACAGTCGAACAGCGCGGCAAAGCGAGGCGGACAGGCCTATACAGCAGGATGCCTGAATATAATATTAATATTTTTACTTCAAACACATCATCACAGTTAAATCTATTATAGAGTTCCTTTATAGGAGTAGCCCGTGATAAGTACTTATTTTTAAAAGTAAAATGAATTCAATTATTGTAAAGGCAGATATTCAGAACATGTTGCATGCCATTTCAATAATACAAATGTTGGAACCAATGAGTTATTCATTGTGTGCGTGTGTGCGTGTGTGTGCGTGTGTGTGCGTGTGTGTGCGTGTGTGTGTGTGTGTGTGTGTTCACCTGTCAGCCCTGCCTCTCCAGGGTCTCTCAGTATCTCTGGGTTGCTGTGCTCCATCCACACAGTGCAGCTAAACTGTGAACAGACAGCACTGACATCTTTACTGAATCATAACAGAACACATTCCTCATATTTTGGACGTATGTAAGCAATGTGTAACACCAAATGTACTTTCTAAAACTAACACATCAATGAAATCAGTCACTGTCACTTCTTTAATTTTATATTTGTCATATCTATCTGTTTTTTCATATCTATCTCTACTTAAATACTTTCTATCATATGTATTTATCGGCTACTGTAAAATACTGGTCTTTCATAGAGCTGTCTAACTATTGTTTTTATTTTGTATATACCTTTATTCCAACTTTAACTTTTTTTAATGCCTGAACACACTGCTGCTACTGTAACTAAATAATCTCCCAATTTGGGATCAATAACGTATCTATCTATCTATCTATCTAAACAAATGACAGCAAATGTCATTATGTAAGTAATGGTTATGTAGTATGATGATCAGCAGTACCTTTCACCTTATTGTGCACTTAAGGACCATTTTGAAATATTCCACCTACTGCTATTTCAAGGGAAATATTGTATTAAATCCAAAACTGGCACTTGTTGGTACATTGTTGGAAGTAATGGATCTGAACACTCTTGGTCACTGAAGCTGTCAGTGCAGGGGGAGTGAGGGTCTCTCTTCCCAGTGAAGATGATTTAATTCATATCACCCTAACGTCAGGTTAGTTTATTGTTCTTCCAGTAAAATTACATTCTCCTCAAACATTGAGAACATTTTTAACGTTTAGCTCTAGTAACACCTGTGATAGGAAGACGTGTCTCTCCAGCTCATGTTCAGTTACACAAAGCATGAGGAACATTCTTACTGAACATTAGAAATGGCGTCCAGACGTCCATCCCCGGTGAATGCTGCCTGTTCTGAAGAGCTGTCCGCCGGCGAGCCGTCTGTTATTGAAGGCTGCTGCTGTTAATACCATGGTTAATGCTCACTCACAACTATGCTGTACAGTAGCAACACCCATTTATCACAGCTAACGGCTTTTTGTATCGGTTTATCAAATTCCTTCTCTGAAACAAACGCCGAATGACAAGTATGCCATTACTGACTTACTTATTTTCGTATAGGTGCTTGTTAATCCACTGCTCACGAAGGAAGTATGTTTAAAATAGCATTTGCTAGCGAGGCCTGACAACACAGGATGTAGAAACAGCCAATCAGGAGGAAGCGTCCTCGGTTGTTATGGAAAACAGGGGAGGCTCTGGGAAATGGCCGGGAAAACAGCGCAGAACGTTTCTACACCAGCAGGTGGCAGCAGAACAAACCAGTCCAGTATCTTCTGATTATTTATGTTCTTCTTCTTCACTACTGACATTTTACGGAGCAATTTACTTCCTGCAATGTCTATATGGGCTTAGATGATATGTCTCATAATTATTTGTGTGAACATAAAAATAATTTGTGTGTAAATATGTGATTTGTAAATGTAAAACAGCATCCACAAATGCATTTAAAAGATGTGCAAACTCACAAATAAATTTGCAAATGTAAAACGGATCTGCAAATACGCAAAATATTTTTACAAATAAAAAAAAGATCTTTGAATATCTCTTTAACATTTACAACTTTCGATCAGGCATTTGTGAATCCATTTTGTATTTGTCAACCAAAAATGCGCTTGTGGATCTCACATCTCTGCTTGTGGATCGTCTTTTTACACACACAAAGTTTTGAGACAAACTTGCCGCCGGTCTCGGCTAAAATCTACTCGTGTCACTCGGTTATTTATTTTTATTTTCGGAAACCACGTGATGGCCTGCTGATGACGACATTTCCGCATGGTTTTCAAAGTAAGACCATGATGGTTTGTTTAATGCGCTGTTTTTTTTAATGAACAGCGGAACGTTAGATGCATTCTTTATCACCATCATCATCATCATGTTATAGTCAGAGCCGGCCCGACCCATTAAGCGACATAAGCGGCCATGGGCGGCTACAGGATTTTTTTGCTGCAGTAGCTTAGCAGTTGCTATATGACAGCACGGCGTTGCTAGTTAATTTTCTAAATAAATAAACAAACAATACCAGTGCCAAGCACGAGCCTGTTCATATTGTAGCGTTCACCGCTATTCAAGATCACAGATCACGAGCCTTCAATGTCGAAAACGTTCTCTTTATTTTCTGGTATTGACAGCCACAGCCACGCCTTACAGAACCAATCAATAGTATTAACACTCATTATGACTTTTCCCCACACTCGAACACAACTCCTACCATCTCGTACTCCCTCCACACACACCGGAAAACGCACACACACACCTGGAAGGGGCGGTCTCTCCCTAACTCCCACCAACAACATTGCCTAAATAACTTTACAAATGTACTAAACTGTGCACATCTGATAACTGAAATAACTATTAACTTGGACACGCTACAATATTATCATTAATATTTACATTAAAACATTACTTTGACACTTATAACATTACTTTGCAAGGTAAGCACAACCAAAATAAGTTTGTAAAAGCAGAATTTGAACACTGCTTCTGTGCTCCTACAATATGTTTGTATAATACCATTACACCCTAAGCGTACAAGTACACAATAGCGATCGTTCACTGTTTCAACTGGCATGCTGTGGCATTTAACCTCATCACCCCCCCGCAAACAGACAGACACACACACACAAACACACACACACACACACACACACACACACACACACACACACACACACACACACACACACACACACAGGGTTGTCCGGATGGACCGGCTGTTCCATCCGGACGCGGTCGTTTACGCTGACTTGTGAGAAATCTTTCCAGTTTCGATCTGTGTTCACATACTGAGAATTATAACAACATTAGCCAAGTAACAGTTCGCGCTTTAACTTACGACCCCTGATAGATCTCGCGAGAATGTGTATAATATATATAGATACATTTTCATAACAAAACAATGGGGTTGCTAAGCCGTTGCTAGGCCAATTGTTGGAGTTGCTATAGCAACCTGGCCGCAGCCACTAAGGGCCCCCTAGCATATTTGTTAATATGCCTAGATTGCCTACTCTCAAAGTCATGTATTATATTATTGAGTCAATAATATAATACATTAACCGTGCTTTACCTGAACCTCATCATGACACTAGAGAGGACGGCAGGAATGTAATTTCCCGTGTTCAGTGAATGCAACAGAGGCAAGACACCAGACCAACCAGAGAGTTGAATGGAAATAAACATCTGTCTTATTGGATGACAGGTACCTATCCTGTGAGCTGTGACAATGTTTAAAGTGGACCTATCATGCTATATTTGAATAATATAGTGTAGGACCATACCTATATAAGGCATATTTATACTTTTTTTTTTTCAAAATACCAAACAGATCATGCATTTTAGCCATGCCTCATTTTGCTCAATTTGACCATTTCTAGCTCTGGGCAGATTCAGTGAGAACAGCACCATCTACTGGCCTGGCATATGTACTACAGCGTCTCCAGCGCTTTCGAACGGCAATGGCCGTGGCTGTCTCCTCCTGATTGGTGGAGTTGGCCCAATAGCCGTAGCGCCACTGTCCTGACGTCAGGACAGTGTTCAAATCTGCATCAGTTTTTATCAGATCCGTTGCAGCCCCTTTTTTAGAGATTTGGGTATGGAGGAAAATAGAGAGGGTTGTGTTTTCTGACACTTGATGAGTTCCCTGGAACACCGGGGACACATATTCATGTATAAAAGACGTACAAAAGTGCATTTTGCATGATAGGTCCCCTTTAAAATAAACTGTCTGTCGGACTCAGAGTTTTTGAAGATGGACATAAGAACATTTTTTCTTAAAAAAGACGACAATTCTCAAGTGGTGGCTCACACAACAACCCCAGAGCCACCACTTGAGCCAGGTAAACAAGGTATGTAAATGTCAGTAAACTTCCAAGTTATGCGAACATGTAAGCAAAGCATAAATTACAGCTACGTTGACGTTACTTTGAATCGCGGGGTAAGCTAAACCGTTAGCAAGTAGCTATAGCTAGCCAGATATATTAAATAAACACTTTGTCATACAATCTAAATGTTATGTTTTTTTGCGTTACCTGGTGATTTCAAAGCTCTCTGGAAAATGTTGACTTACTGTTCGACATGAAGCTAGAAGCTACCTTACAGTACACAGTTGATCCTGAGTCCTGTCAGTTAAAGTGTTTCATAGTTAGCTTAGCTAAGCATCAACCTAGCACTGAAATATATGGATGTTATGTGACAGTATTTCTGAGAAAAAGTCAGCTGAAATGGTGGCATAGTTGCCACTGCTTTACGTGTCGACAGCATGTTTGAACGTATTTGCAGCAGTAAATGTGGCTGTTTGGCCACTGACGTTGCCATAACAACACCTGAATTTAAATGTGCAACCTCTTTTTGTGACAGATTTTTGCATGAAATTATAATTCTTCTGAATGATATTCCTATTGACAGCTAGTTTCTATGTGAACATTATGAGATGGACAGCCAGAGAGAATAAATGAAAAACAGTTATGAAATACTATATGACAAAACAAGAATACAGTTTAAAAGGGGAGTGATTTGTAAAATATCCATAAAGAAAAATCTGTTTACAGTTCTGTTTCATATGGGTGTTGAGAGATGTATGCATAGACCTCTTCATTTTGCTCTCAAAGTGCACCAGATTGATGCTTTTAACTTCAATATTTAAAAAAAATCTTCCCGGGGGAGCATGCCCCCGGACCCCCCTAGAGGAGATTAGGTCCACGGTGTTTACATGCTTATTTATACAATATCTGTGCTTATGCTAACATCATAAGACAAAAGTTGGTTCCGTGTTGTGTGTAGTGAGAACGCGCTAGAGTGAGGGGGGCCCCCAAGCCAAAGCTCGCTTAGGGCCCCCAAAAGTCTAGGGCCGGCCCTGGTTATAGTGATACAGTTAGTTTGTGTTAGTTTATTGGTTCAACTTTCTTCATTGTTTTTTGTGTATTCAGTCAAGCGGGTCAAAGTTACAAAGCACTTCACATCTTATTAATCGGCTTACCGGTGCAGTGGTAAGGCTACATTAAATGTTATAATATTCATCGTGTCCTTTCTACTGTATATGCATATATTCCTGTCTATTGCTTTCATTTGTATTTAATGTTATTATGTTTACTTGTTTCCACACATTTCAGAATTTGGGATTAATGAAGTATCTTTCTATCTATCTATCTATCTATATATATATCCATCTATCTATCTATATCTATCTATCTATCTATCTATATATCCATCTATCTTGCCTGCCTGCCTGCCTGCCTGCCTGCCTGCCTGCCTGCCTGCCTGCCTGCCTGCCTGCCTGCCTGCCTGCCTGCCTGCCTGCCTGCCTGCCTGCCTGCCTGCCTGCCTGCCTGCCTGCCTGCCTGCCTGCCTGCCTGCCTGCCTGCCTGCAGATAGACAGATAGACAGATAGACAGATAGATAGATAGATAGATAGATACATGGGCGGTGCCAGAGATTTTCTGTTGGGGGTGCTGTGGGGTAGCTTGCCGCTTCATAGAGGTTGCTCAAACATGTAAGGTTTCCTATTAATGTAGCTATGGGCTAGTGAAATATTCTACTGCAACACTCCCCACACGCACATACAGAAGCCTACACCCGCGACTGTTATGAAGGCTCGATAATCAGCTCACGGCATATAGGAAGGGTAAAGTGCTATTTTTCACAAGTGGGGGGCGGACCAGCCTCCTTAGGGGGTTCAGGGGCATGCTCCCCTGGGAAGATTTTTTTTTTTAATTATTGAAGTTAAATGCATCAATCACTTTCAAGCAGTTGCTAGGCCAATTGTTGGTGTTGCTGTAGCAACTGCAAGCTACCGCCTGGTGCCGTCCCTAGACAGACAGACAGACAGACAGACAGACAGACAGACAGACAGACAGACAGACAGACAGACAGACAGACAGACAGACAGAGAGAGAGAGAGAGAGAGAGAGAGAGAGAGAGAGAGAGAGAGAGAGAGAGATAGAGATAGAGATAGAGATAGAGATAGAGATAGAGATAGAGATAGATAGATACATACTTAATTCATCCCAAATTGTGAAATGTGTGGAAACGAGTATAAACATAATAACATTAAATACAAATTAAAGCAATAGACAGGAATATATGCATATACAGTAGAAAGGACACGATGAATATTATAACATTTAATGTAGCCTTACTATGAAGGCTGACCTAAATACGGTGCTTTTCTACAGATTACCTTACCACTGCACTGGTAAGGTAAAACTAGGCCGATTAATAAGATGTGAAGTGCTTTGTAACTTTGACCCGCTTGACTGAATACACAAAAAACAATGAAGAAAGTTGAACCAATAAACGAACACAAACTAACTGTCAAATCAAATCAAGGTTTATTTATAAAGCACATTTAAAAGCGATTTTTGGTCGGGCCAAAGTGCTGTACATGTAATAACTACAATCACATAAAAACACATTTCTATAATCACAATAAAAGACAATAAATTACAACAGATATTTAAAAAAAAAGAAATTTTTTAAAACACAGGGAAAAGTCAGGAGTCGTGCTCCGCTCTGACTAAAAACTGTATCACTATAACATGATGATGATGGTGATAAAGAATGCATCTAACATTCCGCTGTTCATTAAAAAACAGCGCATTGAACAAACCATCATGCTCTTACTTTGAAAACCATGCGGAAATGTCGTCATCAGCAGGCCATCACGTGGTTTCCGAAAATAACCGAGCGACACGAGTTTGTCTCAAAACTCCGTGTGTGTAAAAAGACGATCCATGAGCAGAGATTTGAGATCCACAAGCGCATTTTTGGTCGACAAATACTAAATGGATTCACAAATGCCTGATCGAAAGTTGTAAATGTTAAAAAGATATTCAAAGATCTTTTTTTTATTTGTAAAAATATTTTGCGTATTTGCAGATCCGTTTTACATTTGCAAATTTATTTGTGAGTTTGCAAATCTTTTAAATGCATTTGTGGATGGTGTTTTACATTTACAAATCACATATTTACACACAAATTATTTTTATGTTCACACAAATAATTATGAGACATATCTAAGCCCATACTAATTCAACTGATGAGTGCTATGTGAATAAATGTAAGCGATGTAATGCAAGTAGCTCTTGGCCACTTTCATTTTTTCAAAGTAGCTCTCAGATGAAGAAAGGTTGGAGACCCCTGGTCTAAGGTTATCCGTTAGTCACCCCTAACCTCTTCATGTCATGTCCTCCACCAACTCTCCTCTCAGCTGTGCATCTACGTGCTCCACTGATTCTTCTTCCCTACACATCACAGTCCAGTTAGATTTTTCCCCACAATTGTTTACTGTTACATTCAAATTACCCTATTCTAAATCTTATCAAAACCCCTTTCTCCTACATCTGCGTCTCCTAATCCCCACTCTTTCCTGAATTTAAGGCATTTTCCTCCCTCTTGTCTCCAGATCCCATATGTGCTGCTGTTGTTTCATGATTCCCCTGTTTGAAGTACCATTTCCCCTCAGATTTTGTTGTCTATGTTGAGTATTTTTTTGTTGTTGTTGTAAATAATAATGTAGTGTTTAGTATGGTGAATATTATTGGTTCTTTACTTTTAACTGTGTAAGGCGGATGCAGAGTTGCTTCTGCTGTTTTATCTGAATTCGCGCCCAGTATTTTCGTATTATTTGCATGTATATCCGCCCTTTCCTGTCACGTGACCTGTTGGATTGTTTGGGACCGCGCGCCTTTCAGTGTTGGCGGGTAGACACAACACTGCCTGCTGCTGAGCTGACAACAAGGATAACTTTACTCTACTTATAATCAAGAATATGTCGAACTGGACCAGAGGCAAACGACGTGAAACTCGCGAAAACGAACATGAGAATGGGCAAGTTTCACCTTCTTAAACCACCACGAGCCTCCATTGCGTTCACTTGATTGTAGACACCATTAGCTAGAACTCTTTCAGAATGGGATTATGTAAATGTATTGCTAGCTAACCGACTACAAACACATTTACCTTTTCAAGTATGTATTATTCTCATAAATGAAGCCACACTGTAAGGCTGTGTTCATGTTTCAATTGACTTGTGTCCTGCGCTAACGTTAGTTAGCTTGATGCTCGCTTTGAAATGATTTTACATTAGCCTTGAAGAAGTTAGCTAACTTATTGTTGTGCTGTGTTCGCCACTGGGTGACACGACGGTGGCGGCTCTGCTCTATTGTCGGCGGGTGCCGAGGAAGAGAAAACGGTGGTAAAGGCTAACCTCTGCTAAACAGGACTGTAGTGCAGCTGTATCGGGGGTTGGTTATAACCTGATGTTTGTGCAGAGGGCTGAAGTGTTATCCACCACAGCAGAAGCGTTCCTGGTAGGAACAGTTGGGGCTTTGGGGAATGACGGGCGTTTTGCCGCCAGTGTTCACGGAATATACCGGCAATGGTGTGCCCGGTTGTGAACAGCCATGAATGTGAATTGATAGGCCTCAGCACCCCCACCCAGACACTGTGGGATAGATAATGGATGGATGAACAGATGGCCAGAACAATCGCTAACAGGAAGTCAGTGGCGGGAGAACGACTTGTCAACTAACTACTTCTATTTCATTCTACTAGCTGATTAAGTTATTGCTTGTACTGCTGGTGGCCATGGGTCTCGCCATTGGTTTATCTGAAAGAGGATTTAACAGTGGTGTTTGGAAACAATCGAGAGCTAGTTTTAAGCAGTGGTGTAAATAAGACAAGTACCTTTTACCCAAGTACTTGTACTTTACTTGAGTATTTTAACGTTTTGCTACTTTGTACTTTTACGCCCTGACATGTATTTAATACCTTTAGTTACTTCACAGATTTTGATTAATGAGGTGAAATTTAATAAACACTTAAATCAGACTTTAGTTCCGCCTGGAGTAAATTCACAAGCTACCCAGCAGTATACAAAGTCATTCAAACTAGCTGCACCTTTACCAGCTTTGAGAACACTTCAATGATCAATCATTATAAAACATATCATGTATATTATTCTGAAATGGAACAATCTGCTCAATGACTACTTTTACTTTTTGTACTTTAAAGGACACCTATCATGCTATATTTAAATGATATATTGTAGGGCCATATACCTATATAACGTATATTTATACGTTTCTGTTTTCAAAATACCAAACAGATCATGCATTTTAGCCATGCCTCATTTCGCTCTATGTGCTGTTTGCTGTCTACGGGGCTGATTCTGTGAGCTGCAGCTGACCACGCCCCCCTGCAGGAGAGGGGAGCCATGCTCTGATCAAGTCAAGAGGGGGAGAAAAAAAGATCTCCGTCCTCCGTGTTTTATTATTATTATAGGCCTATAGAGTCGTTATTCATTTGTTTTAAAGCTCAATAAATAACAAAGAAGACCTTTGACCGGCACTTTTCTAATTTTGTTAGGAAGATTTAAACTTTAACGGACATCTTGACCAGCGAAAGAAACTGAAACTGAAACTCTGCCGCACGGTCCCCTCGTTCCTTGGAAGAGGCGGAGAGGTGGGTGTTTGTCATCTGCTGGTGGACTAACCGGAGAGAATTACAGTGCTTGCCTCGACGGGGAGGGATTGCATTGAATTAAAGCAGCGGGAGCAAACGCTTGCCTCGGGGAGGGAGGAAAAAAATCCACAGCGGAGAATAAACAGAAGGGTAACCATGGTAACTATGGGCGGGAAGTCTTCTTCGCTGCTTTTGTGGCAGACTACAGTGCCACTTACAGGCCTGGCATATGTACTACAGCGTCTCCAGCGCTTTCGAACGGCAATGGCCGGCTGTGGCCCAACCCCACATTCCCCTGATAGGTGGAGAGTTGGCCCAATAGCCGTAGCGCTGACGTCAGTAAAGTGTTCAAATCTGGATCCGTTTTTATCAGATCCGTTGCAGCCCCTTTTTTAGAGATTTGGGTATGGAGGAAAATAGAGAGGGTTGTGTTTTCTGACACTTGGTGAATTCCCTGGAACACCGGGGACACATATTCATGTATAAAAGACGTACAAAAGTGCATTTTGCATGATAGGTCCCCTTTAAGTATATGTTGATGCTAATACTTTTCTACTTTTGCTTGAGTAACATTTTGAATGCAGAACTTTTACTGTAACAGAGTATTCCTACACTCTGGTACTTCTACTTTTACTCAAGTCCAAGATCTGAGTACTTCTCCCACCTGTGATTTTAAATCACTTGACCTTACCACCATTCTTAAGTTATAGATGAGCCTATTAATCGTTAATTCGCCGCCCAATAACAAAGACTGACCCAATTTCCGGAGTTGCATCTCCTGACCGTTTTCTGTGGAGTCGGCATTCATCCACTGTGTGTGTCTGTGTCTGAACAGATAGAAACGATTATTAGAGACACGCTAGCACCGAAGGGCTACTAAATTGACGTTAAACATAAACTTACTTGTTAATAATATGCTATCTTTACTTGTCTCTATTGTGTAGGAGCTCTGGTCCGTCCCGGTGGTCTCACTGCAGGAAACGAGGGGTCGACGGAAGCCTGCGGGCCAACAGAGAGGAGGACGCTGGTCGAGAAAAGGGTGGGCACTCCGACAGCAGAAATGCTAGGTAAGAGAATACAGCTGCAATAAAAACACACTACATTCAACTTGACACAATTTGCAACTTGCAAATGTACCAGAATAGCAAAATGCACTGCAGAGTGTGTACCAATGTACAGATGAAATGTCAGGGCTAGATATGAACAGTTTGTTAGACTTCAGCTTATTTCAGTAAGGTGACCTGAAGGTTAGAAGCTCTGAATGATCCTCATTAAACCAAACTGTTAGCTTTATTTCTGTAGTATTTGGCAACAAGGGGTAAATGACCCCGTGGTTATCTCCTTCTAGTATGCTCTTCTCTTCATATCCATCTTGTGTTTCTATCTCATCATTTGCCCTCTGGGCCAGGGATAGCTATTTGTGGCTTAAACTACATTTACTTGCACTGTGGCAACAATAATTCCATTCCCCTCTGTGTGTTAATGCTGGTACACCCCCCTTGTGCTTCCTCCCTAGTTTCACCACTCCAGAGGGCACAGGCCCGGTGTCTCGCTGCGGCAGAAAGGCTGACTGGGGCACCCAGGTGGAGAATGATGAAATGAAGAGAGACGTACACAGAGACATGCAGCGGTAACCACACTCTGCTTCTATCTCAGTGGTTCACAGCACACTTTCCACTGAGTCTTGATTTTAACTGACTGTGTGTGCACTGTTCAGTTACAGGAGGAGGATACTGGGTGCAGAGGTCACCCAAAGAGAGAGGAAGATCTCCTCTGGCTCATCGGGGAGGTATGTCCACTTCTGTTGCACCTTTGTCATTGTTGGAGTCTGTATGTGTGAAAACACCTGTCTGTCTGTGTTCCAGCTGTGACTCAAAAGAGGGAGAACACATTGAAACTGATGAGGCAGTGTTGCTAAGGCGACAGAAACAGATAAACTATGGAAAGAATACACTGGCCTATGATCGGTACATCAAAGAAGTTCCAAAGTAGGTCACACACTCACACAGCACTACAACCATAATGACAGTTTTTGAACAATAATACATGTTTTAAAGTGACTCAAATGATATAAAACAATAATATGTATACACCACCACAAATTCCTTGTAAGTGCAAACCTACTTGGCAATAAAAGTGATTGTGATTTCTGATCTTTATTTTTCTGTTTCTAGACATATTCGTCAGCCGGGTGTTCACCCCAAGACTCCAAATAAGTTCAGGAAGTACAGCCGTCGCTCCTGGGACCAGCAGATCAAACTGTGGAAGGTCAAACTGCACGCCTGGGACCCCCCAACAGAGGAGGGTCAAGACAAAGTCCTTGATGACATGTAAGAAGAGATTACATTTCAACAGAGATGCATGTCAACGGCTTAACGCATCAACTTTGAGAATCCTAATAAACATATATATCGGTATCAAGAATGAAAGAACAGTTCAGCTTCAAATCCCCGCCAGATGGTGCTCTCCACAACACACACACACACACACACACACACACACACACACACACACACACACACACACACACACACACACACACACACACCACACACACACACACACACACACACACACACACACACACACACACACACACACACACACACACACACACCACACACACACACACACACACACACACACACACACACACACACACACACACACACACACACACACACACAAGTCAAAGAAGCAGTACCACATTGTAAATGCACTGTAACAAGTCAAAGTCCTGCTCAACACACACTTGTAAAAGTAGTGTATTATGATTAGACATAATATAGTTTTTATCACAGCTGGTAAATGTGGATCACATTTTTCATGACTTTATATCCTGCTCAAGATGGAAGAAGTACAGTACTTGAGTAAATGAACTTGGCTTTATTTGTTGCCACAGCTAGCAGTCCCTTTACCTTAAATGAACCTAAATTAGACTTTTTGGGATTGTTGCAATAATAAAAAGATACATTTTGTCTAAATCAATCATATGTATCCACTCCCATGTTGAGTGTATATATACAGTCTATGATTTCAATAGAAAAATATCTCTTTAGGTACCTCTAAAATAGCATTTTTTTTAAAAGTGCAACTTAATTTGCGAATAATCGCAAGTTAAATATAGACTTTAAAAAATATATATATAAAAAATGTCCATAGTGTGTGTTTATAAATGTTGGGGCAAGCTGAATGGACAATCAGGGTCATCCCAATACACAGCTGAGGGATAAGACAGTTGAAGCTCCGAGGCTGTTAACGATGATTTGAACACATCTTAACTTAAGGGCCACATAGAACATTCTATATTTAAATGTATATATATATATTTATACACATTCAAGTCCCTCCTCAAAACCAACCTGTTCAGATCTGCCTACTCACTGTAGTGCTACATTATCCCTGTTTCCCTGCATGTTCTCTGTTACTGTCCTTTTGTAATGTTTTTAAGAATATTTTCTGAAGGGTGTCCTTGGGGGGGCTTTGAATGGCACCTCTAAATAACATGTTTTATTATTCAAATACAATGCAAAGGCTATACACATAGAGCCCCCCCTATGTGGTCCGGCAGGCAGTGATTCATAGGCTACCTCATCTGGTTGCCCAGCACATGTCACCTGGCCTGTGATATTGAATGAAATGTTTACTTCTGGCGGATGCCGATATTGAATTGTAAAGTGCTTTGGTCCAATGACGTGCTGCCATGGTGCCTCCCTGCTGTAGACTCTGTGTTCTGTCTGTTTGCTGATGGTCATGTTGTTGTTTGTCCTCTGCTCTCCAGTGAGGAGCTGGGAATCGATGATGTCATGGACATTGAGCTGGACTTCCCAGACTTCCAGAATGTCCCAGCCTCTCTTACCACACACAGCTGTTCACTGGAGGTAAGATTGATCACTTTGAATTCACTATGAGATCAGAATAATTAGAAGAGAAGGAGAGAGCAGGTCAGCTGAAAATGCAAAAGTGTTTACAGGCAAATGCACAATTCAACATGGACATGTATGTTTCCAATAAATCTATGAATGATATCCTTTAGAAAACAGCCACCGTTAAGTTGGGAAGTTAATGGGAATATGTTTAACCTGGTTACATATCTCTTAACATGATACACAGTTTCCACATTTCCTGTCCGTTTGGACCATACAAACAGAATCTTCAGTCATCTGAATCAAGTGTTTACTGACACATGTCCAGCTTCCTCTGTCAGCATACAGTCTATCCAAGTTTCTAAAACCAAACCAAAAGTGCAGGTAACAAATCCTGGTACTTTATGAGCCTTCCGTTTTATTGATTGCTTTTTTTCTCTCTTGCTCAGGGTGAAGACGACTGTTCGGGTACTCCAGTTAAAATACAGAAGACTGAAACCACAGTGCAGCCGGACTTGGCGTAGTTCATTGTGGAAATGAAATCAAACATGTTGACACACCTCCCAAATGTTCATCCATCTCTTCCCTGACACTTCTCGCAGCCCACCATGTCCCCACAATGACTGTTCCAGGTTCAATCTGCTCCCTCTGTGTCTCAGTTGGCATAGGTTCAACACTGTAATTTATATTTACGACCCATGTGTAATGTCTTTATTCACAATCATAAATATTCAATAGGCTTCCTTTTTTTCCAGTGCTTCTTAATCCAAAGGTTTGGACCTTTTACAGATTCCTAGCCTGCTCAGGGAGTCTTCTTTTATGGCAAGGTTTTACAGCTGCATGTTTAACTCTGGCCACTTCAAATAGTTTAGGATTTGGTGTTCACAAAAGAAAACGTAGCACTGATCCTTGCTGATAGTAATGCAGGAATACATAGATACTGACTCAACTCAAAAGTTTCTTTCAATTGTTTAAATGCGTGGGGCAAACCAAAGTATTTTTAATGATTCATATTGACAATAACTTTCCCAAGGATGTACATTTTAAACACCGAAGAGCTTTACTTCAGTTATATTGGGTTGTGATCTGTTTTTGTACTAGTTGTTTTTATTGCAAATGTTTTGGGTTTTTTCTGGTTCCTTTATGGTTTTTCAAATAAAAAAAAGAACAATGTTGCATTGACTTCTATGAGCAGTTTGAAGGGTTGTATTGATGGGACTGATGAGTTGCATCAGTGTGGAGGGGCTCTGCAGCGGAGCCTCTGGGCTACATGTGTTTGTTATAACAGCCCTGTAAACCGAGGTGCAGAGCTACCATACCTGCAGCTCTAGTTTCATTATGGTGAGGGGTTTTCACATGTAAATATGATGCTTTTCAACCTCTTTCTTAAAGGACTCTTCTATCGCTAATTTAAGGATTATTGATAAACTGATAAACTACATAGAGAAGCATTTCTGCAGTAAAAGGTCTCCGTAAAAAAATGAATTCTTTGGGAAATGAAATACATGGGGGATGGTGTTGCTGCAGCACCACCACAGGAGGGTCTGCTCTGCGGGGGGAAGCTTGGAGTTCTACTTTTGACCAGGGAGGCAGTGTGGCGCACACAAACTAGCTAACATACAAAGAAGAAGAGGGGTAGAAACGAAAAGAAGGACGAAGAGAAAACACGTACTGCTACTGTGCAGGTTAAAATATTATCACTTGAGAAGCAAAGTGATTTTGGACCATGCTGAGGGCTTGTCTGAGAGGGGCTAACAGCAGCGCGCGGGTAAGAGCAGCCTTCACAGCCAGCCGGGAGCTAACATGTTAGCATTAGCATGTTGTCATTCAGTGACCCACAGACCTGCCCAAGGTGCCACTGTAGGTTTAATTTGAAATAGTGTTGAATTGTTAACATCAGCATGCTTTCTGATGCTGGAGCTTAGAATTCACAGGGCTCTGTGTTAAACAGTAGCTTGTCATTCGAAAGAGCAGATCAGAACCCTGCTAACGTCCGTGCTAGCTGTTAGCTTCTAGTGACATGGCTAATGACATACGGCCAGCATGGAGACAGCTCAGTTACTGAGGAGTGCAGCATATCCACAGCTCCACAGTTCACCTCACTGCACTCACCATGCAGTCAGGCTGGAGGGATCCTAGAATGTACATTCATATACAGTGTACTAACATTACATAATCCCATGCAGTCAATGGGCGGGACCCCGGGTTATCACCTGAGCTACGATCAGTACGGACGACCTGCTCAGGAACATCCCGTTATTACTCTTTTGTATTCAGCTCATAAGGAAGTAACTAGAGTTCAGTTAATTTCAGTTTATTTACTAAAGTAAGCAAAGCTCCTCTGATACTGTTATTTATCTTCAAAAATATCAAATGCATGTCATCATCACGTTTACACACATCACACAGGTACAGAATGAATCTACGTAATGTCAGATGTCGAAGGTAAACCACCTCTGCCCCTCTCTCTGTCCCCCTCTCTGTCCCCTCTCTCCAGAAGAGCTTTGGGAGAACCCCTCTGACCAATCTGCAACCCTGCCGTCACTACACAGCAGGAGAGAGCGGGTAACACACACACACACACACACACACACACACACACACAGGTTATACATCCACATCATAGGTTGGCCTGCAGCAAATTATGGTTTGAGTTTTCTACCAATTTATTCCATCAATGACTTGAGTAATCTGATGTGAAATATCTTTGCTTTATTAAGGAACACTAGTAAACCTACAGAAGAGAAAATAAGGCAATAATAACGAATTGGTTCAAACATTTGTGTTATTGAAATGGAATGCAACATGATCTGAGAGTACCATATTACTGTCTGAGGGTAAACGAACAACATTTTCTGAAATGCAAAAACAAGCATTTACTATTTACTATAATTTAATTAATTTTACTTTTTAAAATATATACTTATCATGGGCTACTCCTTTCAAGGAACTATATAATATATTTAACTGTGAGGATTATTATATTCAGGCAACCTACACACACACACACAGATGCATTGTGCTAAATTTCTACTCTTGTCAAGACATGACACCAGCTTCTCGTCTCTCTGCAGCAGTGGAGCTGGTAAGGTGGTAGCTGCTGGCCTGGTGACAGTTGGTGGGGGCATTGGAGGAACAATACTGTACGCCAAATGGGATCACAAGTTCCGAGCGGCCGTGGAGAACAATGTTCCGTACTCAGACCGGCTGCTGGGTCTGGCTCTGGGACCCGCTTCTCAATACGGTGGCCCCCTCCAGAAACAGGTGGGAATGGGTTCTCAGCATCTCCTAAGCGCTATCTGAAATCTGTTTTTGGTGAGATCAGAGTGTTTTGAGAATGTCGTTGTTGACGTGAGACATTATTGCTAGTCCTTCACAGCCTCCATGTTTTATGTTGCACTTTTGCAAACTATTTTCAATAAATCTTAAAAGCTACATCTGGGAACACTGTATATCGGTGGTAGGGCTTCTCATGTGTATTTATTCATTCAAAAGGGAAAGGTCATGCTAAGAGGAAATACCTGTTGATGTATGAAGGTATTTACAATTTACAATTTCTAATAGTTGTCTTTTAGTGGAGGGAAAGTGAACTCCAGGGCTGATCTCAAACAAACGTCTTCGTGCAGGACTCAAAATGAAAGATGTCCTGCTAAAGGATCAGCGCTCAAAGCCTGTATATAGAAAGGTAGAGCGACACAAACACTTTAGAGACTGTCAGGTTAAAGAACTGCTTCTCCTGCTCTTTAGACGGAGATTGCACAGCATCCCTCTATGATGGATAAACCGCCAAAGGGGTCCAAAGCTAAGACGGAGAAGAAGTCTTCAGAGAGCCCAGCCGCTGAGGGGGGGGCCGTCCCAGCTCAGCCTGCTCCCAGCATAGAGGGTAGGTCTCCATCGGGTTCAGACCCTCATCATCAGGCTCTTTGTACCGTGCAACGTGTTGTGGGGGGTGGCAGCAGAGTGCTTTCCACTATAATGATATCCCCATTCTGACTGTTAACTGTATGTTAACAACTTAACCATATTTGAAAGGAAGCTGCACTCATGTTGCTCTTATTTTGACGTAGAATGACTTCTTAACACCTTGGAGTGACATGGATCATTGTTGCCCTGTAAATCAGTAGTGCCTCTGTAATGGGACACGCTCGTGCTCCACTGCCGTTTATCCTACCGCTTGCTAACAGCAGTTGCCCTTGGAATGTAGTATCTACCGTCTGACTGTAGCACAACATCTTCAAAACTGTTACAAATGTATATTTAGTCAATTGTGTACTTTTTGTATCCATGCTTCGTAGTTAATATGAAGCTGTCTTTGGCTCTTTTCTGCTGCAACAAATGCAAACGTCCCCTCTGTGGGACGGATGGAGATATTCTGATTCTGAAGTTATGTCTCCTGATGCACATTTCCACAGGGTCCACATGCATGATGTTAGCATAGCCACCAAAGCCAGTCCCACTCATCAATTACAAGATTTACAGCCAACAAACTAAATACAGCTTGTACTATGATTGCATAACACATTATATAAACTTCATGTTGGCCACATAGTAAACAAACTACGACTTGACTCCCAATATTAATTGAAATGATTTTATTGACTTGAAAATAATCGTACTGCGCCTGCTCAGAACATAAAACTTCCACGGCCCACTAACAACTGGAACTGTGGCAGCAACAACTTCATTTCAAATGAAGGCAGCTCTGATGAATGTTTTCTGTGATGTTCAGGTCTGTTCACAGTTTCTGTTCCACTAACAAGTCCTTAAACATTTCATTTTACTCAAATTAATGTTCTGATATGGCAACAACGGTAGCATATGTATTGATTACTACTAAAATAACAGTTAACAGTATGTCATACCTATTCCTGGTAAATGTCACGTGACATTCATATTCATTATACACACACACTAACTGCTGTTGTGTGTTTCCCTCCCATCCAGAGGCTTCAGTAGAGGCCACTCACATCATCTCAGCCATCAGTGAGGTGTCCTCGGTCCCTGCTCCCTGTGACTCGGAGGCAGCAGTATTCAAAGGTAACCTCTTGACCTCTGTAACCTTGATATCTTAAAGCATAATCAGAAAAGCATTTGAAATGTACATCTATGTGTACAGCAGATACATGCATGTGGCTGCTAACCAGCTGACGGTTATATCACTCTGAACCCCAACCGTCACAATTTTAGAGCGATGCGAATAATCACGGCTCTCGGTTGTGTTTACTCGCGTCATTAAAACAAGACGCGCTGACAAAGGGGGCGGGGCTTATCTCCTTGTAGATACTATGGTAGATACCAACTGTAACAAAATGAACATATTTGAACGTGATTTCATTGTAATACACGTTTCAAAATGATGCCGAAATAAAAACATACTGATACCGGTTAGTAAAAACCATGAATGAATGCTTTGACAAGTCTGCAGACAAGATGGCAGACGAAACACTTTTTCATATTTCGTGTCTTTTGTGAACGCACAAAGTTGGAGACTTCAAGGTTGGAAATGACAAAGTAAGATGACATTGTGTCTGTTTGTGCATGTTCTCTAGAGGAGTGCACAGAGTGCCACGACCATAAGGATACTGCAGTGTCAGCGATGGAGGAGCCTGAGACAGAGCCCGGGGCGTCAGAGGCCCTGAAGGAGCGCCCCGTGGAGGAGGTGACCGCTAGACTGGCCCAACAAGACCAGGAGGAACAGGAAGTCCTCACATGTAGGCTGGAGCACACGCACACGCACACGCACGCACACACACACGCACACGCACACGCACACACATTATTTAGTAATGAAAAACATCTTTAACTCCTCCTGTACACTCCATGCTACTGTCTCCTCTCTGTGTCCCTCTCATGGTGTGTGTGTTTATTTATTTTGCAGCTGTATCAGCCAGTCTGGACGACTCCCTGGCCAGCTCTGCTAAAGCCGCCCTGCAGGCTATTGGAGCTCAGGAGGCCGCGCTGCAGGCCATCGCTCAGCACACACTCAGACTGAAGGAGGCCATGGAGGCAGAGGTACTGACTGTGGTCTGATCACAGTAACACTGGCAGGCATTTTCCAACCCAGTTTAGATTTAACCACACCCATTTCTGCATTAGCATAGCTCTGCATTAGCATAGCTCTGCATTAGCATAGCTCTGCATTAGCATAGCTCTGCATTAGCATAGCTCTGCATGATGGACGTATAAGAGAATCAAAGTCAAGTCAAAGTCAGCTTTATTGTCAAAATGTCTACATGTGTTATACATACAGAAATCTTGAAATACCGTTTCTCGCAGTCCCACAGTGTGACATATATACATAAAACAAGATACAAAAAGGGCCTAGATAATAATAATGCCGATCCATGTTGACAACGCTGAAGTAATATCACGCCTACTCTAGCTTGGAACGATATGAGCTGTTTATCAGTCAGTGCTTCATATAGGATCTTTTTCTAAATTGATGAAAACTGCGCTTTTTTAATATAAAAGAACCTCACAGCTATGCATAGCTGAGTACATTTGAATAATTCTTTTCATATCAATTCACCATGGATTTAAAAATAACAAACCAGAAACCAATATGTAGCTTAATAGCTGTTTTTAGCTGGGCAACAGAATGGTTCTGTGGAGTGATTAACGTTCTTCATAAATCCAGGTTCCTCCCGAGGAGAAGTCCGCCCAGTGGAAGGATCTGGAAGCTTCTCTAGCTGAGAGGACCAGCGCTGTGACTGCTGCTGAAACGGCCTTGTCCAATGCCAAGTAAGACATGTACCTCAATACACACACATTACATTTCATTTAGCTGACGCTTTTGTCCAAAGCGACTTACAATAAGTGCAAAAACCATAAAGAATCAAACTCTGAACAGTGCTGGTGACTCGGTTACAAGAGCCGCGTTCACACCGCAGTACTTTTCCCACTTTAGTTCCGATATAGTTCCGAAATGTTGCGTTCACACCAAAAAGAGCCGGAACTAAAATTAGTTCATGAGAACCTTTTTACCCCCTTTCCCGTCCCTGCTAGAGAGCAGGTACTTTCGTGGGAGAAAAAGGTTCCTATTTCTGATTGGCTGGGCGGATTGCAAACCACGCCCCGTAAAACTCCCAAAACGTTTTGTGAAGCCGCCATTTTATTATCCTTGCATTAGCATTATTAGCATTAGCATTATTAGCATTAGCATTATTAGCATTAGCCCAGCGCACAAACGCAGAGAGACTAACTTATGGCAACACAAAAGAAAACATGGGAGCGGTGGAGATGAGGAGGTGTCGGCGTTCTGGCGATTTACTCTGAAGGCTTCAGTAGAAGCTGCTGGGAGTCCCAGCAGCTTCTACTGAAGCCAGTGCCCAACTCCGGGGACTTCAGGTGGCAGTATACGGCGTGAAGTTGTTTGCGGCCTGCCAGTAAACCCAAAGCAGAAGAAGAAGAAGTGACGTCAGCGGCTTCATTTGCGTAATCTTCCCTCAGGGAACTTATTCCGGTGTGAACACGATCTGTACTTAGTTCATGAGAACTAAAGAGTTCTCATGAACTAAGTTCTGATGAACCTTTGTGGGAAAAGTACTGCGGTGTGAACGCGCCTAAGGCCTAAATGAACTCTTTATGTACATCTTCAGATGAAAGATGCAAAACAGAAGGGTTAGAGGACCTCCCTGGCTATAGGGGGTGGGCTTCAATGTGATGAAGTACCTGCTTTTCATATATTGCCATACACAATCTACCCTATGCTGATATATATTGTACTATATCGATGAAGTGATATAATTATACATGTGGGGGGGGGGGGGTAGAGGATTCATCCGAAGCTCTCTCAGTTGGTGGAAGAAGCAAGCCTTCATCATCAGAGGCTTCTGAGTCTGACCCCCCCCCCAACAGCCCCCCATTCGCTTCATTTAGCTTTTTTTAAATAATCATCTATAGGCCGCTTCAATTTTGGAACGTCCCTTTAGGTGCATTATATTCATTGCTTATTATTTCTATTATTATCATTATTTGTTTACTTCCCATCGTCGTAATTGGTCACTTCAGGCAAATATCACATGGGTGTGGTGTGAGATAAAGTAGTCCGTGTGATGGGCTTGTGTGGAAAGACAAAGAGGGTTCTGATATATTTTTTCTGTTGACCGTTTGGTTGGTCCTATTGTAGTTATCGTTTGTTGTTGTTCTTGAATAAATATTCAACAACCCAGGGGCCAGCGGGGCCTTGATGGTCATTACAGCCATGAGACGTGGGACAGTTTTCAGCTGCACACCCACACTGGCCGTCTGGAGCCGAGTCATGTGAACACTGATGCATCCGGGGAAGGGTTGCTGAGCATCACCCTTCCTCACCTTCATATTTTGCACCAGTTTTCTGAAACTCTTCCCCCCCCTGTCTCCCCCGCAGTGAAGCCCTGCACAGTCTGAAGGCGGTGATTGACAGCTCTAAGGGGCTGAAGGTGGCTGCTGTGCGCCCCCTGGTTCTAGCAGCAGAGGAGAACCTCCACAACATGGTGGTGGACTTGGACAAAGTGGTAACTAAGGTAAGGACATTATTTGTGTACATGATGTGATGAATAGACTATCAAGTGATGATTCTACATTTTGGGAAAGGCAATTTTCCACCTTCTTCCTGACAGATTGGGGTTCAGTTCTACCACTGTCTGTGTGCTACAATGAAGAGTCAGAGGATCAAACTATTCCATCCATCCTGAAAGAAACGACTGGTCGCCACATGACTGGTTCATTCTTTAAGACAGTCATAATCAGAGGTGTGTGTGTGTGTGTGTGTGTGTGCAGGTGCAGTCATCAGAGTCAGAAGCTAAGATTGTCTCCCAGTACAGTGAGCTGGTTAATGAAGCCAAACTACAGTTCCAGAGGGAGGTGACCAGCCTCACTCCAGAGATCCAGGCCAACTGGAAGGGGCTCAGTAAGAGCACACACACCCACCAGCAGTACCCTGCATGTCTTACACTGTTTGTATAAAGGACACTTGTGCTTTACTGATCCAGATAAACACCTGAATGGATTTATTTAGATGCAGTAGACATATTTTCAAAAGGAGTTGTCTTTGTGTTTGAGCTGGTAAGCTGTCGGAGGATGACCTGAACGCGCTGATCGCCCACGCTCACCGGCGCATCGACCAGCTGAACCGAGAGCTGGCGGAGCAGAGGGTCAGGGAGCAGATCCACATCGACGCCTCGCTGGAGCAGCAGAGGCTGGAGGACCAGAAGGCTCTGGAGAAGGCCGTGAGCACCGCCCTGCAGCACGTCAAGGAGGAGGCCCGGCTGGAGCAGGAGAGGAAGGTACGCACGGCACATTTATTCTACCCAGCAACATTAACCACCATTACTAGACACAGCGCAACAGAGAAAAGCTATGAACTGAAGATAATAGACTATAGGAAATAATGTAAAACATGTTAATGAAAAAACGATATTAAAGGTTTGTCAGTGATCCTGATAGTATTTAGGCCAGCAGAGAAGGGCTTCTGGCTCTGACGGCCCTGTGTGTGTGTGTGTGTGTGTGTGTAGCTGTCTGAAATGAGGGAGGTGATGGAGGCGGAGATGAGGACTCAGCTGCGGCGGCAGGCAGCGGCTCACACCGACCACGTCCAGGACGTCCTGAAGGTGCAGGAGACTGAGCTGAGGGTCGATGCTGAGCAGGTGAGCACACATTACATCAAATCATTCGTATAACTTCACCCATATGTAAAAGAGGGGGTGTGGCTTGATGATGTCATTTAACAGCCATATTTATATTTGATGATTGGGGTTAGTATTATATTGTTCTTCATTTGTTTGATTAATTTCAGTCAGTTTTCAATTGAAATAGCAGCTTTAGTCGTCCACGTGGTACAGCTGGTGTGACTGTGTGATGCGTTCAGGTGCTGACCAGGAAGCTGCTGGAGCAGGAGACCAGCTACAGGCAGCTGAGCCAGGAGCAGCTGGACAACTTCACTCTGGATATGAACACAGCCTACGCCCGGCTGAAGGGGGTGGAGGAGGCCATCGACAGTAAGATACACACACACACACACACACACACACACACACACACACACACACACACCACACACACACACACACACACACACACACACACACACACACACAACACACACACACACACACACACACACACACACCACACACACCACACACACACACACACACACACACACACACACACACACACACACACACACACACACACACAACCACACACACACACACACACACAACCATGGGGTGTTGCACTAGGACACATGGACAGCAGGGGCTGGGATCAAATCCCCAACCTTCCCATTGTGTTAACACACTGGGAACATATAATGGTTGATGCTATAGTCATTTAAAGTTGAAATTGAGAAGCCCATTTACATGAATTGAACATTAAAACAATGACCGGAAGAAATAAAGCATTTAAGTTTCAATAATCTTTAGTGTTGGTGTGGACACTAATAAACGTAAAGGTACTTGTAATCAAGGTTTGTTAATGTGTGTACGTTATCTGGACATTAATGCAAAACTGTTTGTACAGCACATTTCAAGTCATAATTATAACATAATTGGGATTTCTATATTATTCCAATGATCAGGAAAATCTGCTTAAAAGTCTAAAAATAGGTACTGGAATTATTTGAACTTACATTTTGTAAGGTAAGAAATGATTTCTTGACACAGCAAGGACAGATATGTCTTTATTAGTACTTACATAAAGGACAACATACGGTGCTTGAGTGTGTGGTTCTTTAGGAGACTTCCTGTGTTGCAGCAGCACCTGCTTTGTGTTAATGCTGCCCTGTGTTCTGCCTGCAGGCCACGTGCTGGCGGAGGAGGAGGCCCGTAAGGCGCACCACCTGTGGCTCTCTGTGGAGGCTCTGAACTTCACGCTGAAGACGGCAGAGGCGGACGTGCCCACGCAGCCTCTGGAGGGCGCCGCCCAGGCCGTGCGGGACAGCTGCCATGAAAACGACTTCGCCCTGGCGCTGGCCTCGGCGCTGCCCGAGGAGTCGCTGCAGCGCGGCGTGTACAGCGAGGCGTCTCTGCGCGCTCGCTTCAACGCGCTGCGCTCGCTGGCCCGCCGCGTCGCTCTAGTCGATGAAACTCACAACTCCCTGTACCAGTACTTCCTGTCCTACCTCCAGGCTGCACTGCTGTTCGAGGATAAACAGGAAGCCCCCCCCGCCCAGCTGAGCAGTGACGACCTGGATCCATTCAAGATCCTGTCGTACGCCAGCTTCTGCTTAGAGCACGGAGACCTGGAGCTGGCCGCCAAGCTGGTGAACCAGCTGAGAGGAGAGGCCCGCCGCGTGGTGGAGGACTGGCTGACGGAGGCCCGGCTCACCCTGGAGACCCGGCAGGTGGTCAGCCTGCTGTCGGCCTACGCTAACGCAGTGGGGCTTGGGACCACCCAGGCCCCCTAGGCTGGCCCTCAAAGGAACAGCCACTGAGAATGTGAGGAGAGCTGCAGGCTCACAGGGAGCAGAGCGTGGAGCAGGTGGAGCAAAACAGCCGAAGAGGCTAGAAGAGATTTCCAGTGGTGTATTCCTTTTGACTTGGCTAAAGTTAACGAAGAGGTTAATGTTCAGATACAACTGAAGTTTATTTGTTTCAAAGCACTAAGTCACTGTGGAGGATCATTTGTCAAATAAAATGAATGCACCTTCTCCTCCCGTCTATCCAGGCCCACATGTATTTATTTCTAACCAACCCCCCCCCCACCGGCCTAATACCCCCACTGATTAAAGAATATGTAATACTTGATTTTATGTTTGTCACAACTGCATATGTTTCAATAAATCATGAAGAATGGTATCTGCTTTGTTCTTTCTTCACTCAACACTCTTTCACTGTCAAAAGAATAATAATCCATTCCATAATTACTGTCTGCAGTCAGTAAACTGTATATTTATACATTTACTTAAACAAAAACTAAATGTCACTACTGTAAATTCTGACACCACAGAATATACATTGATTTCAAAGGGCATGTAGTTTGGAGCTTTGCTTGGTGTTTTATTCTCCCATCAGTCAGGGCACGTCTGAGTGGACTTACATATCTTAAAAACAAGTGCACATCCAAGGTAGAACAAACGAGTAGCAGCATTATGAAAGATGATAAGACTCCAGGAAGTGAAGCCTGCCAGCTGAGTGGTATAACATATTTAGACTTCTAAATTCTTTCAACTGGACACTTCTGGATACATCGATCCCACCATCATGGAATGAAGCAGTTATCTCTGTTATCCCTAAAGAGGGCAAACATCAAATGTTATGTAGCTCATATAGGCCGATCTCAATCCTAAATCAGGACTATAAACTTAATGTGTCCATTATTTCCAAAAGGCTCTTATATTCCTGATCTGACAGACACAGATCAGACCTGGTTTGTCCAAACACAAGATCATGTTCGATGCTCTGTGCACATAATACAGAGCATCAGGGAAACAGATGCAGTGTTAGCCAGTCTTGACACTGAAAAAGCTTTGGACTGTGTGAGCTGGAATGATCTGGTTTTGGAACAATTTGGCTTTACTGAAAATTCAATCAATCGTATTAAAGCTTTTATATTGTGCCCCGACAGCCAGAATGAAAGTAAATGGACGTCTGTCTGACCTCATACATTTGGAAAGATCCAGGGGCCAGGGCTGCCCTCTTTCTCTAACTGTCTTTGCTCTTTGTATAGAGCCTCTGGCTCAGGCCATAAGAGAAGACTGTAATATACAAGGAAAGATGATAGATGATAGAGAACACCAGGTGGCGCTATACGCTGGTGACGTGACCCAGAGGTCAGCCTTTAGATCTACTTGATGTTTTTGGCACATATTCAGGCTACAAGCTCAATATTCAAATAACACACATTTTAACATTTAGTTGCCCCCCCCCCAATCTCAAACTAAGACTCCCTATTGATTGGTCTCAAAAAGCAATCAAGTACTAGGGAATTGGTTAACATATTGTCCCAATGATTTATATTAAAATAAACAATGGATCTGTGCCTGGTCGACACTACTACTGAATTTCACTTACCGCATTGAGACTATAAAAATGTATATTTTACCTTTTTATGTCATTGCCGGTGAAAGTTCCACATACCCAATTTCAGGATTGGGCAAACAATTTTTTCTCATTTTATTTGGAATGGAAAAAGACAAGGATTAAATATAGTACATTAACTATCAGTAAAGAAGGAGGCGAAATGGCTCTCCCTAATCTCAGGGATTATTACCTGGCTGCCCAGCTAACAACTGTTTGGTGTGATGATGGGTATGAAGCAAAGTGGAAGGGAAAATAAGGAGAGTGCAAAGGTGTCCCAATGAAAGCAATGATGGAGATCACAAAGCTATGACAATCTACCGGGAATAGCTAAACCCCTTTACCTGAAGTTATGATACAATTTCATGTGGAGAAACAGTTGACAAAGCTAGATGGATTGCATACTATTCTGGATTCAAACCAAATACTATGGACTCGAGATTCAAACATTGGATAAACACTCAATCACACCTGGCGAAACCTATGTGAAATAACTTTCTCCACGTTCCAGATACTGGCGCCAATTTCATTAGAAGAGTCTTGTTAGCTTTTTCCTTACTAAAATGAAAATATCTAGCATTGGTTGAGAATGCTTGTTGGAGAAGCTGAGGGAATGGTGGAGCAGCTCACTTCCCCATTTTTTGGACATGCCCAAAAAGAAACCAATTTTGGATTGACAGAACCCTGCAACATATTTTGGGACCACAGATCCCCTTCTCGTGTGAAAATACCTATGGAAAATACCCAGCTCAAACAGAACCCTGATTCTATTTGTGAACTTGATACACTTTGCATTTATTATGTGTCTTTAGGAAATAGGACAGGAATATTTCTCATAATCCAGCCACAGGACTAAATGTACTTACAAATATATATGATTGTCTTGTGTGCTGTGATATTGTGATGCTTTGGCTCTAACAGTATATTCTGAGGTAGCATGACAAAACAGACTAAAGCAAAATGTAAAACGTCAAAATGGGGAATTACCTAGTTTAGCTTCTCATCCTCCGCTTCACCTCCTGCTGCAGGTCCCTACAGCCGCCCCCCCAGCAGAAGTCATTCTAAACATCAGCACTCACAACAGCACCATGTGGTTTTGCAAACATTGTTTTATTAATCCATTTGTCAGTTTGTAATATATAAATTACTTTTAAAAACGTGAGAAGCAGATGCACCTACAAGAAGGACATGGCGTGAAAACACAGGAGTTATAGAAAACCTGGACTGTGTTAACAGCCATCTGAGACGTCCACTGTCCCACAATCCTCTGTGCCTCCCT